TTCTAAGTTGTATAATTACAAAACTAATATATAAATTGTAATTTTATCATTCATAGTTATTAATTTACATTACATCTTTAAGATAATAAATGTTACTTTTCCGTATGCATTCAACCAGGAGAAAGGTTTTGTCAGGTGCTTGGGTTATAGTTTCTTGATTTTCTACCGAATGTCTTTCTCCAGCATTAAGTAATAGAGAGCTAGCATTATTGGGACTAATTATCCAGACGTTAGTTTTGACTTTGGTTTATTATAATTAGCTTGTAAATAAAATTATCAGACATCTGCAGATTTTGGTTTTCAACCTTTTCTCTTGAAATAATTACAGGCACAAAAGAAGTTACAAAAATAGTGTGGAGAGAGTTAAAGGATCCATCACCCATCTTTCTCCCATGGTGACAACTCTCATAACTATAATTCAGCTGCAGTTTATAATAGATCAAATTATACTTAGCATCAATTAATTATACCTCAGAATGTAATCACCCTACCCCAACCCATATTTGGTATATGGGAGGAAAAAAAAATCTATGCAAAGTACACTCAGGGACTATTCAGAGGACTTAAACTCTAAGAATTGATAAGACCTATTTTTCAGTATCTTCTCCCACAATTACTATTTAGAACATTTTTAAAAAGAGGATGAACTAAAATATGTATTGCAATTTTCTGAATACCTCTAGTCTCTTGCAATAGACACAGAAGAGGGCGTGACAAAGTTGGGTTTGGCAATATTATTTCTACTACAAAAGTAGTAGAGATTCTAAATAGGGATCATAGCGACTTGAAAGGTAGAAGGTTAAATACAAGGTAATGCCATTAACTTGGCTGAGGTTGCAGGACAAGGAACTTGTGAGCTCAGGGTAGAGAAATCCAAGTCACTTACTCTGAAAACAGATCTGGCTCATTTTATGTGAACTCAGTTGATATATCAGTATTGATATATCTGTAGATTATGTAAATATATCTTGACTAAAATATCAACATATTAATGGTTTGTATGCAGATTTGGAAATAGATACAAATTGTCATCCCTACAAAGCTTGTCATTACAGATTAAAATTTCCAATTGTGGGACACATGGACATGGAAAATTAAAAGCTTTTGCTTATTCAGAGTGCTCTTGAAATAATATATTTGGAGACCCCTCTAAAGATTGTTACAGCACACACAGACACACATACACATACACACACACACACACACACACACACACACACACACACACGTAAAACATCATCCCAAAAATAGAATTTTGGGAAACCTAACTGTGTAAGACACTATTGTCCTTGAGCTCCTGTGTGTGGAATATTCTGTAAGGGCACTAATGCATCGGTAGCATTTGTCTGTCTACAGAATGTCCATACCCATGTTTAAAAGGAAAAATCACCATGGATAGATAACAAAAGGGACTGTGCATTTCAGCCTGTTGGTATAGTAAAAAATAAAATGTACATGTGTAACTAGAGCTCAAAATATGCCCTCTTGACTTCCTAATGCACAGACTTGCCTGGGAGTAGAAAATATTTGGTCAATCTAGCCTTTCTCTTCAGAAAGCCAGTTTCTTCCCCATGGTAATATTTATAGTTCACAAATTACTAAATGGGCTGGGTTAAAAAATATGGCAGAAAAGGAAGTGTCTTCATGTCAGTTGGTTAGATATGTACCCTGTCTATAAACAACAGCCATGTCCTTACTCTCTACTTAAGTTCCAAAATCATGATTTTAGTTTTGATCCATCTCTTTCTCAGTATTGCTCCTAATAAATTCTTAAATTAATGAGGATTCACTTATTTCCGTATGAAGCAGCTCAAGTTTTGTATGACAACTTGACTCTCACTGAACACTATTAGGAAAGGAATGCCCACTTTCCCCTGAAGGTTTGTTGTATGCCTCCCTTCTGGTAGAATGCCTTTGAGAGATTCAACTCTTTTCTGAGCAATTGTTTTCAGAATCTCGGTCTTTTGTTTCCAGAGCTCATGGCTAGATAGTTTGTAACCTGGTCTCTACCCCACATGCGTTGTTTTCACACTTCTCTCCAAAGGCCAAAGATTATCTCCCAGAAGCTCCAAAATGATTCCTGTTTCTGAAATTTATGTGTAAAAGGAAATTTTGAAAGGAAAGAGGGTGAGACTCAAGTTCAAACTTAAGAATTCTTGTAAAGGATTATATTGATGAACAAAAGCTCTCTGGCATTTTTGGCAGACATGTCAGAAAAGGCAGTGATTGTAATTAATTTTTAGTAAGTGCCGCATATTTGATAATTGCTCTGATTCATGCTATTCTATTCCTCTTCCTTCACCCACAGCAAAACAAGCTTAATTTGATTCATGCCCTTAGGAAGAAAAAAAAAACCCTAAGATTACTCACATGGCTATGATTCAGCTCTTGGCTCCCACCACCTCCTCTTCCTCCCACCCTGCCCACTCCCATATTCACTCCCACCCAGTTGCCATAAACACACACACACACACACACACACACACACACACACACACAAACTGAGTCAGTTCGTTCTTTAAAATGGGTGGGGAAAGAGGACAACTAATAAAACTTTTCTGAGGGCATTATACTCCTTAGATCTGAAATCATTTCAGGAGGACCGGTAAAGTGGCTGCTTATATAATATGAAAAGGCTGACACAGAGGCAAGGTCTCATAAAAGAAATGTTCACATTGTCTTATATAAGTAGACATTGTGTGTGTGTGTGTGTGTGTAGAGGCATACATATGGCTGCATAGTTACGTTTCTATGAATATTTTCTAATATTGGGAATCTCACATACACTGTATATAAAACTAGTCATCCGGTCTCAAAGTGGGATACCTGTTTTAATAAAACACTGAATCTAGCAGCTATCCAAGTGTGTTTGATCACTGTCAAACATACATGATCCATCACGTGTCAGTGCTCAGGAGTTGGAGGATTGGTTTTGAGGGAGACAGCTGACCCTTAGTGAGCCCATGGTGGTGGCAGACATTGAGGCACTGGCTTCTGTTCCTTCCTTGTATTTTCTCATTCCCATTCTCCAGATAAAACAAAAGCCTTATGAAATAAAATGATTTTTCCAAGTCCCTCCCAGAGCCAGGATTGGAACCCAGGCTGTCTGTCTACATCGCTACCTCTATGTCTGTTTTATGAGAACTTGACACAGTTGGATCATTTGCAGATTGCCTGCGGACCGGAGTGGCGACTGGGAGAAAGCTTTATGTTGGGGTGCATTCCAGTTAAACCCTAAAGGGAATATTTTGGTAAAATGAATAGTCAACTCCCAGTTTAGCTGTCTTTCACTGTCTTGGGGTATATACCGTATTTTTCGGACCATAAGACGCTCCGGACCATAAGACGCACCAGTTTTTAGAGAAGGGAAATGAAGAAAAAAAGATTCTGAAACAAATAGTGTCCTAAAATATTTTATGTGCATTAAAACCCAACATCAGAGTCATAAACACATGTAATCAACCCTGTAAAGTAAACAGCAGCATTTAGAACCATTTTAGAGCCGGGCAAGCACACAGAGACCACACAGAGCCGGGCAAGTAAAAAAACTTTAAAAAGTATATGTGTAGGCTATATTTGGACCATAAGACGCAGGGACTTTTCCCCCCCACTTCTGGGGGAAAAAAAGTGCGTCTTATGGTCCGAAAAATACGGTACCTTTTTTCTGCCCTCTTCTGCCAATTTGAAAATTAGATATTTGAGCATTTTTCTATGTTATAGAACATGCTTTCTGTGTTATAACAAAATTAATTATACATTAAGGTATCACCCAAGCAGTTGCTGACTTTGCTCAAGGTCAAAGGAAGTGTGCTGAAAAGAGATAACTGTAGTCCAACTGCTCAAATCGAGCCGCCCAGATTTCTGGTGTGGGGACTTGGACTTCTTATTACTGTATTCTTCCTGTCTGTGTGATACCTGGGGACCATTTATTCCACGGAATGCCACCCCATCTTGGTAGTCAACTTGTTACTGAAGAGGGAGACTTTTAGGCATGTCAACTTACTGAATTTGAACCTTCACAGATGACATGTTGATGATTTTCAGGTTTTCATTTTGCTGCTTTTAGGCAAGTTGGAATTACAAGGACTATACAGGTGTGTGTGTGTGTGTGTGTGTGTGTGTGTGTGTGTGAGAGAGAGAGAGAGAGAGAGAGAGAGAGAGAGAGAGAGAGAGAGAGAGAGAGAGATGTGGTTGTATTTCATGTGTGCTAGCGTGTGAGTAGCTCCATTTAGAATGTGAATTGCAGTAAATGCAAAAGTGAAAGCTGCAACATGGATGTCATGCTCTCAACCACTTCCTGAAGAACCTGCCACATGAGCCCCAGACTGAGAGACTTACTGGGGCCCTCAGGACAGGAAGAGGCCTCCCTGCTAAGAGTCTCCAGTAGACCTACAGGTCTACGATCTGTTACTTCTGTCGGGCAAACTCAAATGTTTGGTTGTCTCAGCTGTAAAGTTTTCAACCAATAATTCTGAAGCTTTAAATATTTGGGAATAGGACCCCAAACTTGCTATACTTTAAAAGTAATCCCTGTCACTTCCTCGTTGACAGGATCCAGTTCTTTGAAACCGTTGAGAAAGTGCATTCTGATCCTAAAATGTCCAAGTTATAAAAGAAAAAATGCGAGCCTGTCAGATTAACTGCAACCACCAGTCTAATAAAACTGAGTCACATCCAAACGGTCTGCACTTCCACTCCCCTCCCATTCTGGGGAAAATGTGTCCGGGGGAGGCAGTCTGAGTCACCACCTGGTTTGTTTGACATACACTTCCTTCCATAAATTGGGGATGGCAAGCAGCGCAGCGTGCTGGGCTTGTCTCGGGGAAGGAGCTGTCGCAGCCTTACACAACCAAACAGGGCCTTTACCTAAAGGATGGAGCCGAGCCCGCATTTTGCCTTCAGATGTGGGGGGTAGGAAGAAATGACCAACCCTAACAGAGAGCATTTGTAAGTACCATATGGGGTGGGGTGAGGCTGGGGCGGGGAGAACTTGTGTCAATGAAATGGTAGGAGTGCTCACAATTGAATTTTTCCTAGGATATAAAAAATACATAAGAAATAAATTAATGGTGTTAAGATAAAAATAAAGAAGGGGGACTCAGTTCCTTCACAAGAATGAACTGGATGTGAACAGTCTACAATGATGACATGGCAAAGGACGGGTGTGAGAAGCATATGATTTGGTGGTTACCATACACATGTGTCTTGACAGTTGTTTAATTTTCCCTGATTGACCCAACCATTGTGAGAGACGTATTTCATTTCTGAAACGCTTTCATGGCAAGCTGAATCTCCTTTGGGGGGGGGGGGGGCGGTTGGGAGGATGAGGAGAGAAGAGGTTCGCGTGTGTCACACATTTTTCTGACAGTGGCTTCGCAGAGGCTTCCTGGAGCTTGTTAAAATAATTCAGGATGTACAATTGTCGCAGAGACGGTAGAGGAAGGGTGAGGAGGACTGGGGTTATAGCTGAAGTGGCTTTGTAAACAGCCTCCGCTTTGGATTGTTTTTTTTAACATGTGCCAGGCATTCCTCTGACTTCCATCCTGACTTGGTTGTGGCTATCTGTCTGTCTGTGAGTCTTGGGTGTTGCCTGTTTGAAAGCCGGAGTTGTCTCAGCCTGGGCGTTTTCTGTTTCGGCTTATGGCTCTTTTCCCCTCTCTCTTTTCCTGAATGAGTGTCCTTTGTGTAACCCCAGTAATTCAGAAATCCTGCAGTCGGAGGGACTGCCCTGTCACGTGACTTGGGTACTAGGTGCTGCCTGTGATTGGTCAGCAGCTAATTGGCGGGTCCCTATAAGAGGTCCCACTTCTGGAGTCAGACCACTCTCCTGCCCGGGCTGCTACTCAGTGGGGGCCAGAGGGTGGAGAGGGCCCGGTTGCCAGTGAGTCAGCCACATGTGACAGATGACCAAGGGACTGCTCCTTGGAGTCGGTGCATCCGTGGAAGACACCCAATGGGTTGTGACTGGCTTGATCAAACTCTGGCTTCCTGAACTGGTAACTGTCACTTTAATATAGCTTACTGATTAAACTCAGAAAAATGCAACTAAAAATCTTTGCCAGGAACTTGTGTGGACTTACTCCTTGTCTCTCCCCCCCCCCCCCCCACTTGTTCTTATTCGTTTTTGTCACAGGAATGAAATGCAGATAACCGTTTAGAAAGCTTTTGTAGGAAAGCACCTCGTGTGATCTGGAACAAAGACATTATATAATCAGATTTCTCATGCTGTGAAGAGGGAGTTTGAGCGAACAGAAGCAGCATTCTGTCACCAGGAAATACTGCTTGATCCAGAATTGGGTAAGTTGAAAAATGGCATTGCTCCCTAATAGATATCATATGGGATGTGTGGGAATTGTGAAATGGTTCATAGATCCCTAACAACCGCGTTGGACCACAGAACCCATAAACAGAGTGAGGAATTCCAAAAAAATAGCAGCCCAAGAATATAGCATGAAGGCTGAGAAGCAGCCAGGTATTGAACAAAGATTAATTGAGCATTGCCAGTTTAGGCAACTATCGATATATGTAATACAACTAGTTTGGCTTTACCCCATTTTTACCTTTTCCTTTTTAATGGGGGAAATCAAAATGGGTTACTTGGTAACACTGTGACATCAACTTGCCATGGGTGTTTATTTCCATTTAGTATGGATAGTATGTATGATTTTTGGAAGAATGCTTTTATAATTAGTCAACTTGCTCTCCTTTTTTCAACCCTCTACCTAAGGATGTCAAGTATTTAGTTAGAACTCCACAAAATGAAAGTTTAAGTAATGCATTTCTTACTGATTATGAAAGGCAGATGAAGATGATAATAGATTTTTTTACATTTGTATCATGAATTTTAAGATTGTTCTACTTGATTACATTAATATAGCAAAAGAGTAGTTTTTTCCATATGGTCCATTACACTTTGAAAGGTTCTGATTAGCAATTCTTACTGGTGTGCCTGTCTGTCTGTCTTTCTCTCAAACTTTTAAATTGTTTTCTGATCTTGAATCTGAACTTCCTTTGTGTTTAAGTTGTCCATAAAAATACAATAAAGCTTTGAATACCTATGTTCTCTACAAGTAGGTTCTTGTTCATGAACTCTAAAGAAACAAGTTCATATTAGGCATGAATATCTGATTTCTTTTCTTGGTTTTTTCAGAATTATTTTGCTGGAAAAGTTGAATAGAATAAGAAAATCATATTAGAACGGTGGGTGACTACCTGATTTTTAATGGTTAATAGAAGCAGTCATGTGATACATATTTATAGAATCACATAGGAATTGTTCTTTAACTGTTAGCAACTGTCTAGGTAACTTTGGTGATCTCCCTATATCAATGTGAATTCATAGACTTAAAGCTGTTATCAGAGTTGTGCATTTTGGGTTATATAGGATATAATACTATTTATTTTGTTTTCAGTATCTTAAGCCAAATTGAAGGTTGAATCTGCATTTCTGACTCGGTTCCCATTCTGTTGCTTTCAAAATCTTAAAATTCATAACTCGAAATGGAAAATGTACAATAAAATGCAGGCTAGCAATGCTGCAGTTCTCTCTGGCACTGGAGTGGGGTGAGGGTAGAGGAGAAGGAAATGAATCCATGGGGATGTGTTAATTGGTATTTTTTCTCTTGTAATTAGATAATGTTGAAGATTATTATTCTCAAGCAGCTTTCAAAGACATTGACAAAAAGCAAGATAAGCATGGCCTTTAGGGGCACTTCCTCTAATAAGTCAGATCGCTGATGCAAGTGTGAATATTACAATTATTTGACTTAATTAAGGTGTGGCTGAAGATGTGAAAAAAGACTACTCAATCCCTTGAATCACATGAATTTATAGGTTTTAGATAGAGTCTTGAAGACAGAAAAATGGTGATGAAGAATTAAGATATTGACAGGTAATTTACATCCCACTCACTGCTAGTTGTATTCAGTGATTCACAAGTATTTTCAGCTCTGTCTTTCATGTAATTACTTGGGCAAAATAAGATGATTTAACAATCTAGCTAAAAAAAACTACCATTTTAATGGGAAAAAATCCCCTATATAATTTGTAGATTTGACTCATCCATTTAGAATCTATTGTCATGAATGGGAAAAAAAAAATGAAGAGGACTGAAACAGTAAATGCTGGAAAGTATTTTCCAGAATAATTCTTTTAGATCTTCATGTTTTCAGCTCTGTTTGCTGTGTTGTTATTTACAAAATATGTATGAAAAATAAATAACACGGCCTTGTCCTGAATTCTCCACTGGTGTTATTGAAAGTATTAATATTTTATGTACTCTGTAAACAGTGTGCATGCGTCCTTGTCTTTATGGGTATGTAAAGATACAAACCAAAAAGAATCTGGTCAAGTGACAGACCTCAAAATATTTTCTCCCAAATTGTCTTTGGTATTTTTATAGTCAAAAATAGAAACATTTTCCTTTTGGGCTTGTTTCTTACCTTTCTGATGTGTTATACCTTTTTGCCCAACTTTTTAAGGTATGCATATATATGTGTTTAGATACTTGATTGGAAGGGGGAGCTTTAATTGCCAGCAAAACAAGTGGTGTTTGTTAGAACCTAGAAAAGCCTCATGGTGTTGTTCCTTTGACAACTGAGGGGCTGGGTGTTGAAACGTAGCTTGAAGTTCTCAGTTTGGAAATGTCATTCAGACCTCCCACCACAGTCTTACTGAGTGAGTAGGAGGATAATGAGAAGGGGGGAAACCACGAAGCACTTTAAGTATCTCCATTCTTTTCATGTCTTCCTGACTTGGCTTTGTGTATGGATCACCATGGGGGTGGTAAGCCCTAGATCTTGAACAAAGCAATACTTCAGTATAAAATAAATGGAAAAGGATCCAAAAAGTTGGGGAAGATAAATAACAAACAAGGGTAATAGGTAGGAGAAGTTGGCTTCCATGGGTTTGTGTAAGTCTTTTATCCAGCGCGGACCAGAGTGAGAACATGGTGAATGAATTATTGTATATCTCTTCAAGAGCTGCAAATATTTCCTTAAAATGCAATGTGGAGCCGAAACTGGTTTGGCTCAGTGGTAGAGCGTCGGTCTGCGGAATGAAAGGTCCCAGGTTCGATTCAGGTCAAGGGCATGTACATTGGTTGCGGGCACATCCCCGGTAGGGGGTGTGCAAGAGGCAGCTGGTCGATGTGTCTCTCTCATGATGTTTCAAGCTCTCTATCTCTCTTTCCCTTCCTCTCTGTGAAAAATCAATAAAAAAATTTTTTTTTTAAATGCAATGTGGAGAAAACGCCTTAGGAAGCAGGATAGTTTACCACTTCAGCTTAATGCTTATTTCTCTCCCCTAGGCTGATTACAGAGGACACTGTATTCTTTTAAGGTACATGCTTTTAATTACTTCTCATCTAATAACTTGTCTTTTTTTTCCTATGGGAAAGATAAAGTGTGCTATTAAAAAGTGGTAAACTTAGGTATTTCACCCTGTGTTCAAAAATTACTTAAAAAAAACCCTTAAAGATTGTTAGAGACCAGTTGTTGGTGGAAATGATTTGGTTGACTGAGAATCTTAAGGCATATTGTTTTTTTGGGGGGTGGGGTGGGGCAAAGGTTGTTTAGACTAATTTTGGGGATCAATTAGTTATGCAGCGTGGATTTTCCATGCCTAAAGGACTTCCTTACTTTCTACTCTTAAATGGTTTTGACTATTTATTTGGTCATTAGCATATCCAGAAGTCAGAAAGGAAAAATAGATCTCAGTGGGTTTTACCCCTTACTTAATATATAGGTCTACCATCTCTATTGAATTCCAAAAAACTCTGAAAACCAAGATTTTCATGTCAAAAACTTGCTAGCAGATCATAACCTGAACTGATGTGAAGCTATTTGTTGTCTTTGTCCCACTTCATAGGAATATTAGTATGTTTTATTGTAGCAATATTAATATGTTTGACTTTTCTGGAATTTTATATTGATGGAATAGTTACCTATTAAATTAATAAAATGTCAGATAAGGATTTGTGGACTTCTAATTACTGATATGCATGGAGCTTATATTATGTGCCAGGCACAACTTTAAATGAGTCACTGGCATCTATAATGCCTGGCACATAGTAGGTACTCAGTAGATGTGTTTTGGTACCTATGTTAACTCATTTAATCCTCACAGAAACTGTATATGGCCATTATAATGATCTCCATTTTACATGGGAAACTGATGCACAGAGAGGTGAAGCAACTTGCCCAAAGTAACACAGCCAGGAAGTTGTAGGGCCAGGGTTTGGAAGCCAGTAGTCTAACTGCAGTCTACTCTTACTGAGTCCACTTCAGGTATGAGAGAGGCCTGGAGACATGGCGCCGAGTCTAAAAGATGTTTCAACTCTTTTCTTTATTCCTGGCCACTCTGTGCCTGGTGCCATTAGAAGCAGATGGCTTTACCACCATGGTATTACCTGAAGGCTCTCCTAGGTGGGAGTGTGTGAGTTCCTGGGGTCTCGAGGCTCCTAATCTCTTCACAAGTTTCCTAACATTGATCTCTATCAACAGTCTGACTTCTTCAGTTGGAAAAATTAAGACACAAAAATAACTCTTTCCTTGGTCCCAAGGAACGGATCTTGAATAGTGGAAAAAGTTGTTGAGTAGACATTCTCTGGGTCCTTCACTCCAGCAGGAGGTCTGGGCTGTGAGGAGAGAGGGCATGGGGGACCTGGGAGGGATGAGCTCCATGGTATGGGAGCCGCACTAGGACAAAGCAAGGGCTCCCAGAGAGGAATCAGCAACAGCCTTCGTGACTCTGAAAGGATACTTTTAACAGTACTTCAGGAAAGTATAGAAGATGTCTTTCCAATCATGTAATTTTCTAGGTATAAAAAATTCATCCCATGCTAATAGCAACTGCCCCATTCTAACCATTTTCCAAATTCCCTATCCTTCTAACCTGCTTAATTTCCTTGTTAGCATTTATCTCTGACATATTGTATGCTTTACTTATTTATTCATTTGGTATTTTAGTCAAACCCCAGCGGTAATGTTACCTTTGAACAAATTTAAAGTTTCAAATTTGTTTCTCTTTGATCTCCATCTTCAAACTAATTTTCTCCTGTCAATCTTAGACTGCTATAAATAATGAAGGTTTTTTGCTTATTGGATTATTCTCATTATTAGTTGTCATTTTTATATTCAAAGTCATGGAAATTTCTTTTTCTTAAACTGTTTTGATTGTGCAATCAGATTTTGGAGGACTGCAATCACTGAGTATTTTTAAATTCAATAAGATTGTAATTAATTGCAAAGGTGAACATGCATAGTAAAATATTTTTATATTTTGTGAACTACCTTCAGCTTAGATAGGGAGGTGTGAAACTATACATAACATTTAATCCCCCTTCAAAATTAAAACTATCTCATGTGCTATCCTTTTCCTTGGAAAAATTAAAAATATCGATAAAAATGTTCTATATGTTATGTTAAAAATTGTAAAGGAATTAATCTTGGACATTTCCTGGCTCAAGTTCTTTAATTCTCAACTGCAGTCTATTGTCTTTTAATCCTATGTTTATTCTAGTTTATGCATTGTGAAGTATTAAAGATAATTTAAAAATACATATATTATTTACTAAAAATATCGTAGTCATGTAAATACACCATTAGATCATTTATACACTTAATTAATTTTCTTTTAAATCCTTAAAGGAACAGATGAGATGCATGTAAACGTTAAATATGCTTTTGTAAGTCCACATAATAATTGAGATATTTTTGTTTTCTTAGCTATATTTTATTAACACAATAGTTTCCAGCTGCTTTCTTTTAAAGGTTAATCTAACAAAGTAATAATTTGCTGAAAAATGAAATGTAGCTGGTTACTTTACGGTAGAAGATGGAGCCATTGATTATGAGAAGCTAGCAAAGGTTTTCTTGTAGAGGATCTTCCTTTCTGCCTGGAAGAGTTTTATCTCCTGAAGCAGACTCTCCAGAAAGCCCATTGTTGGCTGTGGTATTGGGAGAAAGCTTACTCTCTCCCTTTCTGAAAGCAGAGGGATAAAGACGCTTAAAATGAAAACCCATTGATTTCTCTCAATTAGGCTTTGAGGGGCATATATATAATGTGTGACCAGGGTTCTTAAAAATGAGAAAAACTATGAATTTGGACAGGTCCAGCAACATTTTGCAGGGTCCTTCCAAAGTTCTGGCTACCTGAAGAAATTCTCCAGACCTCCAGCCATTTTGCAGTGAGTGTCAAATATAGGATAGTGGTTGCCATGACTTCAAGGAGGTGCCTGCTCCCAGTATCCATCACAATGTTTTCTCCTTAAGGGGCCCAGGCTTTGGAAACAAGTAGACTTGTGTGCTGAGCTGACTTTGCTCCTTGCTAGCTGAGTAAGCTACTCCATTTTGTGGTCCCTGGAGTAATGGTGCTTACTTGAGTTCCCTTCTCAAATCCTTTTAGGATCAGACTTCAGTTTAATCTTAAACCCTATGGATCCATATGTATTTTTTTCATATCAGGTTAAGTAAAACAGTGATGACAATGGCAGCTGCCATTTGTTGCATACTTAACCATGTTCTAGATAAGGCACTATAGTATTAGCTCTACTTGCATTCAACTGCTCAATCTTCTTGACAACCCATCGGTTCAATTATTATACCCATTTCATAGATGAAGACATCGTGGCATAGTAAGGTAAAAGAATATGTTTGTGACTGATAAGTTGTGGAGCCAGGCTTTAAATCCAAATAGGCAGTTGCCAGTATAAATGGAAAGTACTTCTTTCTGGCAGAAAAGGAGAATAAAAGTTGACTGAACCCGAAAGTTTCAGAAACGGTCTTCTCATTTTTCATTTGCAAAGTGTCACATCTGCCAGACCTGGCCCTCTCAGTATTGAAATACAAAGTTGACTTTTTCTGTTTCTTATTTTACAAAGCAACAGGAACAGTTTGAGTCATTTGTGTTTTATGAGTTTTAATTAGGCCACCGAAGTCCATGAGGGGAATTCCTTGTTTTCAGTTGATCTCATGCACTAACAAATTTACTCATGTAACTTCCCCTATTTTTTTCTCTCTAATGTTTTCACTTGAAAAGTGGGGGTGAAAGGGAGAGGTTATGTGAGCATTTGAGTCCTAGGGATGTACTTTCAGCAACCTCTCTAGAGATTCATTCTTCTATCTGGTGTAGAATTAATCCATAGAAAAGTAAAATGAGGAACAATCTATAATGACTAATATTTTTCTCCTTTGTCACCATCTAGTTTTAGGGGATATCTAAAGGGGTAAGACTTCTAAGTAAATAAGAAGTCATCTATTTGCATAAAACCTTGTGCTTGGATAAGGAGTTAAATTTTCAGAATATGAGAAAGGGAATTCACATTGAGAATTTCCTCCTATCAGATGTAGGCTGAGAATTTGGGAGGGTAAGAGCAGTCTACCCTAACCCATGGGTTCAGAGTGCTTAGAAATCTTTTCAAAAATCTCCTGGCCTTGGACTGAGCCTGTCTGTAGGAGGATATACTAACCATTTTATTTGTTAAGTTGTTCATTCATTCATCCACTATCTCCCATACCTCATTCAGCATCTACCTGCAGATGGATGAAAGAAGGATAGGGTTAAGGTCCATTAAAGGAAGGAAGAGGAATAACTACAAATTCACTTTCTTCCTTGCACCTCAATGACTACGTCTTTTATTTGATTCTTTGTCATTTTTTAGACAAGGCACATTTTACCTAATGACATTCATAAAAGTTTTTAAGTTAATCTTCCTTTGGCAGCCAGCTTCCTTTTTTTTAATAAGGGAAAGAAAAGGCTTATGACAGGAAAATAATGCAGAGACATTGTTGTTGTTTTTTATTTCCTTTCTTTAATGGAGGTAGAAGAAAGATTCATAGGAGAGAATGTGTTAATAAATAATGTCTAAGAATTCCCCTGAGCTTTCAACTCATTTCCCTGTTTAAAGAACATTAAGAGAGAACAAAGGCCTCCACAACGATGTCCTGAAAGATGATTTTTAAATAGAATTTAAACCAATTTGGAGGTACAAAGTCCTGCTCTGCCCTCAATTAAATTTATTATAAGGTTGTTTTTTTTAAGTATCACTAAGTAAAAAATGTGTAAAATGAGGGATCTCCTCTCTTCTGGGGAGGTAAAGACAGGGAGGAGGGTTTATGCTACTAACACTTCAAAAAGTGTTACTTGTCACCATGCTGTAGTTAGGGATACTCTCCCTTAAGACAGAGTCTTTACTTGTGATTTAGTAATGATTTAAACATGTGACTCTTTTCCCATACGTTTTAGAAAACACACAACTACCCTGTTTCCCTGAAAATAAGACAGTGTCTTATATTAATTTTTCTCCCAAAGTTGCGCTAGGTCTTATTTTCAGAGGATGTCTTATTTTCGGGGAAACACGGTAGTCATCAAGTTCTTTGTAATAGCACAAATTTGGTCTGTGTGTTTTCTGATACCAGTTTGATCACGCCACAATGCTTTATATCATATGAAGTGTTAAGTCTATGTCGTAGACTTAGTACAATAAGTACTCTTTCAGACAAGTTAAGTTAGTAAAGACAGTAAATCCTATCTTTTTCTCCATCCTGTTTGATAGTCATACTCTAAAAGACCCTTATCTTCTGCCTATGGATAGTAGAGAGAGTATAAAGGTGATCCTTCTTAACTCATCCCTGCACAATTTCTCTTAATGTTGGGAAAATGACCATCTGGCCTTTGAAGTACGGGGTATTAGCAAAAATTGTTCCAGGTTCTATATAAACCTCATAAGCTTATAACAGAACAATTGGCAAAGATACCATATGGGAAGTAGTCATTTTACAAAAAGATATTTATTACATACCTATTACATGCCAGACTGTGTTCTCTGTCCTGGAATATAGCAGGGAACAGGTCTCTGCTCACATGGAGGGGGGAGGCTGACAGTGATTGAGCAAATAAATACATGGCAGGAGCTAGTACATGCTATGGATTAAAATACAACTGTGTCAGACAGAGAGGGAGTGCCCTGGGGACAGGGGAAGAACTACCTTATCTAGGGCTGACAGGGAAAGCTTTTCTAATGTTGACGCAGAGAATTATCCATGGGAAATGAGGAGCCAACCAGAAGGGTGTCTGGAGGAAGAGGATTCCAGGCGGAGAAGACAGTCACTGCAGTGGAGGGAGGAGCAAGTTGGGCAGGTTTAAGGGGCAGAAAAGAGCCCAGTGTAGAACAGCAGGCAAGGGGGAAAGTAGTAGATGAGGTTGGGAGGTAGCGAATGCAGATCACGCAGTTGGCCATGGTAAGAAACTGCTGGAACATTAGACGTGATAACTAAAGATAAGGAGAACTTAAGTTTGTAATGGCACAACTTTGGTCTGTGAGTTTGCTGGTACAGGTTCTAGAGTATAGGCTATTTATAGAGGGATTCTGGAGAATCCATCCATTGTGGGCCATAACCTGAGCGTGCACATGTTGGTAAGGGCTCTCATAAAATGCTACTATTGTAACTTTAATTATTATAATATGGAAACCTTGGCGATAAACAGTTTTAGAATGTTGGAACTGCATGGTTTTAAGTACTTGTGTGTTTAAAGTATGTTTGGTGGCCCTCCATTTTATGTTCATGCAAATGATAGGTTCACTCATAATTCTGCATGAAAGTTTTCTGATATAGGTTAAAAGGTTTTGTTGCATAGTACTTGTTTTACAACTGGAGGCAGAAAGGAAGAGTGGGAAAGTAAAAGCAGTTGCCCAGTTGGGAAGAATGGGGTTATGTCTACTTTTATCTTTCAAATTGGTGTTAAAAACATTTTTGCAATTTCTTAGAGTTGATTGCAGTAAATGGATTGTAGCCCCTTATCATTTTTTTCATTTCTTTTTTTATTGTTTAAAGTATTACATATAATAGTACATATATCTCTTTTTTTTCCCCATTGACCTTCCCCCAGCCTCCCCTACCCTCTGTCACATACCCTCATTCCAGCCACACACACTCCCCAGTGTCTTGTGTCCACTGGTTGCGCTTGTATGCGTGCATACAAGTCCTTTGGTTGATCTCTTATTTTACTATCATAATTTCTACATTTTGTGTAAGGTATATACAGTTTCTGTCATGTAGGAATTTACATGTTAAGAAACATGATGACATCAATGAGAACAGACATGTTGTTTTATAAACACTGGACCATGTAACCAATCTTAGAGGGGCTTGATAGCTATTTATACTAGTAGGTATAGTCCAGGTTTGTCATACTACACACCTCCTGAGACTTTATACCTAACACTTATACTAGCCTGACTTTCCACTAGTTAGTTATGCATTTGGGTTAACCTTCATATTCTTTTAGCCAGGGACCCACCTGCAGAAAAGAGTTATTGGTTTTGTCATTTATAGTTCA